GTGGAAAACTGAGATCGATGAACATTTACAAAAAATAATTAACTACACGGAAACAATATTCACATTAAAACGAAAGATGAGTTGATTTTTGAAGAAATGTACTCGCTGGTTTATGCTTAGCAAATTGGTTTTCGTTCTTAAGCTCAGCATCCCCTGATCAGTTACTTCAAGCACGTACGTAGTAGAAAGAAATCATGATAATTGAAAGGACTCATTTGTCTGCTCTTTTCTTTTATCTAAATTTAATTTTCGCAGGCAATTATATCCATTTATGCATGTAGGTGAGCGTAGGCAAAGTTAGCCAATTGTCGTGGAAAATGGTCGAGTCCTTTGCGACAAAGAATCGCATGCAAGAGTCTGCGTGAACGCTAGCTTCAAAATTCTGTAGGACAAACTTTGGACAATATCATGCTCATGGATTTTTCTAAGAGAATAAATTATGTTAAAGAATAAATGACTATATATATATATATATTCATGTAAGATATAAATAGACATAGCTAGACTTTCCATAAAAAAAAGAACAGACATAGCTAGACTTAGAGCTTGACCTTGATGGTCCATCCACCATCGAAAGTGGACAACCTGCTGCAAAGGTTGATGTTCGAGCCTCATTTTTCCTGTAAAAGTCTTCGAACCCCTTTTTAAACAATTGCCAACTATAATGTACAATTCAGGCATGCATTCATGATGCATATTAAGTTCCAAGGGTTTGCACAGATATCATGCAGTGTTCGATAAGGATCGAAATTCATATTTTAATATCCTTGTCCCAGACATCACAGTGTACTGTAGGCATCAATCAATTAAAGTTAAGAATCAACTCAAAGAAATGATCGCAGATAATTAATGCCAAGACATATATATATATATATATATATATACATACACACAGAAGAAAAGAAAAAGAAAGAAAAATCATAATAACTAACAAACCAAAAGGACATAATGATTGGGATCATCTGGGAGACACATCTTTTCTGAGCCACTAAACGTGAGTTTTAGGCCATCTTATATGCATTGCAAGGGGGGGCCGTGAGAGCGAGAGAGAGGTATTTCTTTACATAAAGAAAAAATAAAGAGGGATTTCTTTATATAAAGAGAAAAGACTAACATAAAAGAGAAACAATATTGTGTCAGCCACATTGGATGCTTGTTCCCTCTTCATGGATCCATGTTTTGAGTACTGAACTTATCCAAGTTAAATGCACCTTTGTATACAGTAACTAGTTGTATATATTTATGTTAAACAATAGTTCGACTATTTTAAAGATAATATTTTTTATTCTATCATGTTTTTATTTTTAATTATCTCATTCTGCATTCAGAATTATATTGTCGATGAACTTTATATAAAGATAATTGGTTTATATAATTGAAAATTAAGAAGTGAGATGTGAAAGCAAAACGATGAATAGTTAAGATTAGAGTTAAAATCAGTATTATTTTCATAATGCAGGTAGTGGAGTTACCACCTTGAAACTTGCTTAAAACGGAATATTGCTTTGTGGTAACAAAGTGCAATTATTTCTCCATCACAAAAAGAAGAGAGTTTAATTTATTTAATTTTCAGGTAAAAAGGAAGTCAAGAAATGCAGCTTTCTAAACCTTAAAAACTGTGCTAATTAAAGGGTTTAAAGCATCTTTGTTACCATTGAAGTAATTTCTAAGATATAATTAATTCTTATAATGTTTGTAACCCTGCTTAATTAAAGCAGTACAGATCATTTCAACAAACATGCTTCGAAAGGGGAGAAAAACAGAAAGAGGGAAAAAGCCTTCACAAATTCTAGCTTAATTTTGATAAACCTTTCAAGCGATAATTCCTGGAATTCTGATAGTACTGCTAGGAGAAACTCACGAAACAGAAGGGAATAGAGATTATGACAATACAGAGAGGTCGGCAGTTGTTCCGTATACCTTTATCAGCTGTATGCAATGCTTATTGCACAATGAACATCATTCATTTTTGTTTTTGTTGGGCTTCTGTTTTTTCCCTTGGCCTGTGAAAGGTTTATTTCAGACGTCAGTTTCATTCGTGATGATTCTAATATTGCACTCACAGGAAAGATGTAAAGATCAAAATCTCGTTGAACAGAGAGGGATAGAGATAGAGAGAGAGACACGTTACCAACCGGGGGAGAAAGTGAAGGGAGAGGAAAAAGCAACCAAAGGTGGCTATGTCGGCCATTTATAGTCAAACTTCTTTCGTTCATTCAAAGGAAAAAAAGGCAAAAAATTTCGGCTACGAAATTTTTGGCCGTAGACGAAACCCCACAAATGTATTCCCTTTTTCCTTTGATTTTATTACTAGATTTAATGGCACCAACAAAAAACTAGCGCTAGTTTTCAATATTGAAGGCAGTTGCTGTATTGAGTTGTGGGTTGAAATTCTTGGCCGACTTGAGACCACGCTTTGGGCATTTCCTCCTTCGGAATTATTCGTTGACAAGTCCCGAAACAGATAAGAAATCATATCTGATAGGAGCAAAGGACGAGCAGTTTTCTTACAAGGGGTTGAGTATAGAGATAATACACAAATGGGGTTGTAACTGGTAAGCACTAAAACATAATAAAATTGCTTGGTAGCTTCACAAATTGCATTTTGACATTGTTGTGAGTGCTCTCACATACCACTAAAGGCCCCACTAGATATATCATTGGATGTTTGTCTCCTTAAAGCGGAGTAAAAGTCATGTAGGCCCTAATAGATGTATGAAGTTAGAGTATGTGGTACAACAGGAAGTGATTTTGAAATAGTTTTTGATTTTTTAAATAAAAATTAAATAAAATCAAAGTGCGTGTATACACATATACATTTTGTGTAAAAACGATAACAAGACGATTTAATTATAATCACCATTATTATACATATTTTCCCTTATATTAATTTTTTTTCCAAAAGTTTCATCACAACTTCTTTTCTCATATTTTAAATATATTTTACTAAATTATTTAAATAATTTTTTACAAGGATACCAAATCGCATAATTGTTAACCGAAATACATATAGAATTATAAAGATAAACATTTTGTTTAAGATAATCAAGTTGGACGATCTAAAACCCACCATCATCTCACTGTTGGCCCCAAACGCCTTGCTTATGTTATTTTATTTTTTTACAAAAATCAACCCAATTGTGGTGAAGTGAAACCAGACCAATTTTTTGGACTTATTTTGCCATTTTTTACACATTATCTTTTGATAGGTGAGCCTAGCTTCTATGTATTCAATTGATAATGCCTTGTCTCTTTAATCTTTTATGTTTTCGGTGTGATCATACTAGTATTAATGTATCAAATCTTATTAGAACTTTTGCAATAATGTTTTTACACAATTAAGGAAGTAGTATTAATAAGATGAGTGGCCTTCTAGGAAATTCTCATTTGCATCCCCATTCCATTATTTATGGACACCATCTCCATTGGCCTTCACTGCACTAAGGCCTTGTTTAACTTTTGACTTCAATTAGGAAATTAAAATGGTTATGAATAGGTAACGGTCTCCATGAAAAACTTTTACTCTAATTTCTCTTTTAATTAGGGAAAATGTTTTTTTTTATGCATTCATACTTATATGGTTGGACAAGAAACAAATTAACCAGCTAAAAAGTTATAGTGAGACTTGAGATCTTTGGAACTTCGTCTTAGGGTTTTTGCCTTTCTACTTAGACAAATGATGAACCTGTTCTAAACACAATTATTAAAAGCTTAGCACATTATGGATCAAGTAATTCTATAGAAAATTCAAGGGACAAACTTTACGCGTAAAAGGGAGAATTGGGATCCCTGACCCATCGAAAATTCCAAATTGAAAAACTTTGATGAAACATCTAGTGGCAAGAGGTTTAGCTTCCTTTATTGTTTTTAGCTTCTCTCCAACATTTTTTTATATTATTCAAATTTTAAAATCGAAAGTACATATAAACATAAGTCACTCGAATCTGTTTTAGTGGTTGAAGTAAGTGACTGAAAGTTTTAATAAAGGTCTTCAATCAGAATCATAATGTTCCCTCTTATATTAAAAAATTATCAATATGTACAAAAATAAATAATAATATATTCGAAATTTGTGACTTTACAATCTAAACCGTTTTCTCAAAACCCCTGGCTTGGGTTCAAGTCAAACAACTCGGCAGACACAATCCATTGCCATCTTTAATCTCAATTATGGTTTATATGGTTATTACGAAGAACATATCTAGAGACCTGTTCATGGTTCATAGTAAGGGCCCCCCGACAAATAAACAGTGCAACTGTTTAATCAAGGAGACATCTTAGCTCTATTCGGATTACTCAAATCCAATTCTTCACTTTCAATCTTTCATCAAACGGATATTGACATTTAAACAGGACAATATAGGACCCGCCCCTCTTAACGTTTTGACTCATAATTTCTCGAATTCCAAAAAGTCACAAAATTTCTGCATCATTACCTAGTGCCTAACATGATTAAAGAAACATCATCTGCTTCTTGTCAACTTTGCTTAAAATGAGAGGGAAATGTTTGATTTTTTAGCATGGAAGCATGGGTTTCCATAACTTATAGCTAGCATGCGTATAATCAAGTAGTATTTATCAAGTATTTAGGTATATGAAACCTATCCCCCCACTTTTAATTAGGCTGGTGGGTATACAGAAATGATAATCTTTTTTCCTTTCCCTTAACAGAAAGGGGTTTGATCTAGAGTATGTTTTTTTTCTTTCTGAAAGTTAAGAGATTGATTAATAGAAAGGGATTTGATCTAGTGTTAGTATAAAAATTTCATGAATATGTTTGAATCGAGAGTTCCACTCTCATATTTGATAGAGCAAATGATAACCAAAAATGGGCTTCTAACACATAATCAAGAATTGACATTCATTTCCTGGATAAAGTAGTTTGAAACAGTCGTCTGAAAGAAGGAAGAAGAAGGAAAGAAAAGAAAAAGAAGATGTAAAAAGAAAAAAAGGGCAGAGGAACAAACAAGAAGGTGAGAGAACATCTCAAAAAAGTAGTGTTACAAACAAGCCAATATTACATTATTTCTATCTGTATACCACAACAGCACTCGTAAGCAAAGAAATATTGGAACCCTAATCAGAGGCTTAAATCCAAAAATTTAATTACGTGTTGGAAATCTTTGTATCATATTCATAAAAATCCTGGTTTTTGTTTTCCCATATTTTGTCTTTATTTAATATTATGTAAAAATTCTTTCCAAGGCAGACAATAATGCACACAAAGATGCATTAAATTCCGCCAAGGCCTACTTCTTTTTTCTTTCCTTTTCTGTTTCTTTCTTCATTTTCAAACTCGCTTCCTTCTTTTCGAGCCCACATTTAGTGAAAATGATCGCAAGACCAAAAATAGGATCTCCTAGCAGCATTATTAGAAAAATCGATATGAATTAATAGCTCCACAAGCTTTCTCCATCGGAGTTCTCCGGCGAGTCATCGGATGGCGTCGAGCTTATTCTCGGCGGTGACACCAGAAGTCCCTCTGCCATGTCCACCAGCAAATTTGGCAGGTTCAAAAGAGCATCCTCGTCCACGTATTCTTGTGTCGTCATTTCTTCATTTTTGGCCTGATGACCTGTTCCTAGATTAATCTCACTTGTTGTTTCAGCCTTTTTTAGTAAAGCAGCTGCTGCAGCTGCTTTACGTATATCCGCGGACGATGCGGAAGCAGGAAGCGGATACGAAGCAACAGAGCCAGGGAAGTTAACAGCAGCCTCGCCGCCTTTTAGGGCTAGGGCAGCCACATCGTAGGCAGCCGCAGCCATTTCTGGCGTTGGGTACGTACCGAGCCATATACGCGTAGTTTTGCGTGGTTCACGGATTTCGGACACCCATTTACCGCTCCGGCACCGGATTCCACGATACATTGGGTGTTTCCCGGAGGAGCTTGAGGCCATATTGGATTTGGGAGCAATGGGAGGAAATTTGTCACACGTGGGAGATGGGTTATCGCACGTGTGAGTACTTGTTGGGAGGGGGTGTGGGACTTGGATGTTTGGGTCTTGTAAGGATGATGATGGTACGGGCGAGTGAGAGCAAGGTTGGTCTAATTGAGGCACGTTGGTGGGATTATTAGGGTCAGCCATATATAACCCAAGGCAGGGGGAGGATAAAGACTTTTGTTGAAAGAAAGGTTAATCTATGGCATTGGTGGTCGGTATTTAATGGAATGCCGAATTGTTTAAGTGTATTTTGTCTCTTTTAGTACTCTAAAAAAGGCGAAAACGTGGGGATTTCGGGGGTCAGATCGTGGCTCCCAGTTGTGTTTCAGTGACCTTTCTAGGGTTTTGGTCTTTCAGAGTATGAAGTGGAAAACGATAGTTTAAAGGGGGCGGATGCTGTTGTTTTTTCCTTTGATATGAACATAGGGGGTTTAATATCCACACGCCTTACGACTCAGCCACTGAGCTATTACTTAGCTGTTTTCTATACATTCGGATAGCACCCCATCAGCTCTTCAAAAATTTCTCTCCCTTGGCTGCTTGCCCCTTGCTGCTGCACACGCTCACAGTACACACGCATAAATTTTTTAGTGGATTTTTAGCCTTGCCTAGCTAAGCTTAATTTGTTTCTATGCGTATGAGTTTTACATATCAGATATTGAGAAAAAGAGTAGTGGGACGCGGTAGGCCACACTCCATTGGTTAAATTACTAGGTTCAAGCTCAAAAGTTCTTGGATTAACGGAGAGTTTATGAATTGATGAGTGATTGATACAATTGGTTGCTCATATACACGCATTTTGTGCAAAGCTGGCTAGCTAGCTAGCAGTCATAACTGTGTGGAAAAGCCATGTTTGAACTACCTTGTCAATTAAATCTTAAGTCCAGTGAAGTACTTAAGGTAATTAATTCGATCGATAATGAGAAAAATTTTAGCAATTATTTACAATTTAAATGCTCAAACAATATGCAGTCATGGGTTTTAAATAGATAATATGACAAATAAGAAGTCCTGATCCAAGTTTTACATGTCTTTCTTGGGTCATGTTGAAATAGTTTTTTAATTAATTACTTCCTTCAGTTGTCAAAGACTTGGAGGAAAGAAAGAAAGAAAATATTTTGACAGGGTTCTTGACGCGCCAACAAAATCAATAGTTGCGCTAATCAAATTAATTAATCAATTGACTAGACTGATGACAAGTAAATTTTCCTGTTTCTATTGATTAATCTGTTTACCTAATATTTGGAGCATCTGATCATCTGCAGAAATTCCAACTCGATCTCATGATGAATTAGGTTAAATATGGCCAAAATCAAGTTACATTAATTCCTAAGACCAGGTACAAAAAACAAAATTGTTCGATAAGTGCCTAAGAATTTTGCCATATGTAATTGTCAAATTGAAGCATTTGATGACAAAAATCTATTTCTGTATCAGATGAAATGAATGCCCCCACTACATGGTCCCATTTCGTGTTTGAATCTTACCCCGAAAAGGGTTGGAAATTCCAAACAAAAATTAAACCCATATATTTGTCTGGTCAGTTGGCTGCTATAGGCAAATTTCCTCGGATAAGATTTGGCCAGCAAGGTCTGGTCTGGTTCCATGCAAAAGCGAGCCCACAATGTGTCTTTGTTCTCGCACAAGTTTTTGCTGTTTAATTAATTTTGAGTTTCACTATTTTTTAACTGTTCATTTTAATGGAATCCTTGCTATATCCTTGTCATGTACTATATATCTATACATAATTATTGGAAGATATATATTAGATATAGGATCTTTTCACTTTTTCAAAAAATAACTTTGGATTTGAGGTTTTTATGAACCATTCGGATGAACCTATGAAACCCCTTTTTGTTGTTGTTTGACCTAAAAAAACATATGTCCTTAATAAATTGAGACAAAAAATGTAAAAGACAAGATTGCAGTGCAGGCGCAAAGGATATGTATACTGTAACCATTGTTGGTAAAGAAACGACGAATTTTTTTTCTTAAAAAAAAAAATAAAATGAAAAGAGAGAAAATATAAGGTACAGTTTTGTAAAGGTTTTTTTTATAAAAAAAAAACAAGAGAACTTTCTTGCAGAGAAAACGGACTTTTGTGGTTGTTCCTGATGTCGCCCGACCACTAATCACAGTGCTTGAGTGACAGCAACGTGTCTGAACTTCAGAACAACGAGCCCTCTTTCCATCAGCCAATAAACAAACACTTTTATGATATGTAGTAATTCCAGGCTAGTTTTTCCAATCATCATACGAATTCCATACCCTTTAAAGGATAATATAAGCATAAGCAGGAGTAATTACGCGTTATATGTAATGTAACCCACCATATTAATTAAGCAAATGATCTCCTCTACATAAGACAGAAATTGCCAAAGAACAAACAGGATCCTACAAAATTCTTAACTCCGTTCTTTGCACTCTGTTTTAACTGACATTTTTGGTACTATTCTTTTGGTCCAGAAACAAAAAATTTTGAAAGGTAGAATTTTTTTTTAAAAAAATGTATTTTCCTATAAAAGTAAATAATATTTGAAAGTACATAAAATATGTAAGTTTTATAACTTTATATATGATTTTACTTATATATATATATAAACTAAAAATATAATAAATAATGTTACATTTTAATCAATTATCATTTCATTTTTAGTAACTTTTGAAAAGAAAAAAGAAAAAACAATTAAGTAGCACAAGTAATAATGAAATGCACCCTAAATTATTTTTTGGTTACTTGTCAAAATCTAGCTGAAGCAATATTCAGATCAAGTTTCTCCTCCCCCCAGCAACCTTTCTTGATCAGTTGTCAGTAGACACAGCTGATTTCTACTGAAACTTGAAAAAAAATCAGTTCAATAAACCAACTCAAAAGTCAACCTTCTGTTGACAAAGTAAATCATAAGATCAGAAAAGTAGGCCTCATCAATATACAGAAATCTGAAGCCCATACTGGGTTCCAAGCTGCTCAATATTTATTCGCATGCTGCTTCAAAATATCAACCCCCTTATAGAAAAGGTGACTGTGACGGATAGACTTAGTCAAGGGTTGAATCTATAAGAATTTGTAAAATACAAGAATTTTCTTTTTGTCAATTTCACCTTCATTCAACCATAATAGAAGACTTGAAACTGAAGTGTGAGCCTCGGCCTTAACATTGTCGGTTGTTAGTCCCCTGGAATTATATATCTTTTTCTAAGTACTTAACCCACTCTCTTCGAATGTTAAAAATAGATGATTTTATTGCAACAACAGTGCACTAGATATTCCATTTCACCTATCATATATAAAATATCCATATTTAATCAAATGATTATTTTTTAAATTTTTTTTTAAAAAAATTAAGGCAACAATCTGCCCATCGTTTGGCTAAAAAAGTGTGAATAAATAAACTGTTGAGATATTTTCAGCGATTCTTTGGAAGCGATTTGTTATCCAAATCCGGAGTGAGTATAGGACGTCCTCTCGCACACATATTGAAGCCGCTTCTCATCCTCACTTCTTTATTACCTCTTCCTCATTTCATTCTTTCTGCATTTCTTTGGAGTTGCCTCCTTTTGCTAGCGGACTCTTTAGTTCATTTGAGACAATGGCTGGTGGAGGTATGCCTTCAGCCGGTTCCGAGAAAAATTATCCTGGAAATTTCACTTCCAAGGTCTTATATACTTGCATTATCGCCGCTACAGGTGGTTTGATCTTTGGTTATGATCTTGGTATTTCAGGTAAATGTTATTCCTTTAAAACGATCTTTTGTCAGGGTTTTTATTTATCCTTTTCCATCTTCAAACCATTTGTTTTTATGTTATTGCTTGGATTGTAGGTGGAGTTACATCCATGGACCCTTTTTTGGAAAAATTCTTTCCGGAAGTTTACAAGAAGGAAATATCAACTAAACCTTCGGATGATCAATACTGCAAGTTTGACAGCCAAGTACTGACGCTGTTTACATCTTCACTGTATTTGGCTGCTCTTTTTTCGTCCATGGTAGCAGCCACGATAACCCGAGCGTGTGGAAGGAAGATGACGATGATGTTCGGAGGTTTGCTTTTCGCCGGCGGTGCCGTTCTCAATGGCTTTGCTGAAAACATTGCCATGCTTATTGTTGGTCGGATGTTTCTCGGTTTCGGCGTTGGATTTGCTAATCAGGCACCTACCATAGCCATTTTTTTTTCTTCTTTATTCCATTTCTTGACATCTTGATTTCGTTAGATATATTCATGTTGTTGTTCTTTCATTTTTTTTTCTAATTTAATTACCATCACATGATATTATAACAAAGCATGTCATATAGAACTATAGTTATTTGTTCACTTTTAGATATTTGAATTATTATTTTAGACAGATTTTCATTACATTAAATATAAATTTTTAACTTCATCAATACTAAAAGATCTTTCTCGATTCATAAAGAAAAAAAATCATAAAATGCATTATTCTTGTACTAGTTAAAATATCCTTACTCTTTTTTTTTAAAATAATGATATCAATATCAAATTTTGACAAAAGGTTTTCTTTTTAATCAAAGTTTTGTGCGCATATATTTGAAAATTTTTTTTTTGCTTAAACAAAATCCATTTTGAAATTAGAAATTAATTTTGTTTGATTAGATTTGTATGATGAATCAATGTGAAGATATTTAATGATAGTCAAGGTCACAACATAACTTTCATGCAGATATTGTAATGCAAACATTCAATAACGATGGTTTTGATTTTATTTTATGCAGTCCGTCCCGATATATTTGTCTGAAATTGCTCCCTTTAAATATCGAGGTGCTATGAACATCATGTTCCAAATGTCAATTACCATAGGTATATTTGTCGCCAACTTGTTGAACTACTTCTCTGCTAAGATTAAAGCTGGCTGGGGTTGGCGCTTGAGCTTGGGTGGAGCTGTTGTCCCTGGTTTGATCATTTTTTTCAGTTCCTTTTTCCTCTCTGACACACCAAACTCTTTGCTTGAACGCGACAAATTTGACGAGGCTAGAGTTCTGCTAAAAGAAATCCGTGGTGTTGATAATGTTGATGAGGAGTTCAATGATTTGTGTGCAGCTAGTGAGGCGTCCAAGTTGGTGAAAAGCCCTTGGAGAGATATTTCCAAAAGGAAGTACAGGCCTCAACTCAGCTTTGCTGTCTTAATTCCTTTCTGTCAGCAATTCACTGGCATGAATGTGTTTGTGTTCTACGCTCCTGTTCTGTTCAAGAGCATGGGATTTGGTAACAACGCGGCCCTCATGTCCTCAGTGATCACTAGCATTGTTAATGCTTTAGCAACAGTAGTTTCGATCATCTGTGTTGATAAGTTTGGAAGGAGGACGCTTTTCCTTCAGGGTGGTCTTCAAATGTTATTATGTCAGGTAAATGAATGATTCTTATTCGTCTTCTGATTCTTTTTCTTCTGGATTAATTTTCATTGATCCCTCACAATTACAAAGATACGACTTCTTATCCTTTCCAAATCTCTTATTATATGTATGTGTAGATTGTTATGACCGGTTTAATTGCTTACAAGTTTGGTGCGAGTGGAAACCCTGGTGAACTGCCCATGTGGTTCTCACTTTGTGTGGTAGCATTCATGTGCATTTACATTGCCGGCTATGCCTGGTCATGGGGTCCTCTAGGTTGGCTAGTGCCTAGTGAAATATTCCCACTTGAAGTCCGTTCCGCTGCTCAATGTATCACTGTCTCCGTCAACATGTTTTGCACCTTCGTCTTAGCGCAAATCTTCACCGCCATGCTTTGCCAATTGAAATTCGGCTTCTTCATCTTCTTTGCCTGTTGTGTCGTGGCGATGAGCATCTTCATCTACATGTTCCTTCCTGAGACAAAGGGAGTCCCCATTGAAGAAATGACCATTGTGTGGAAAAAGCACCCTTATTGGAGAAAGTTTCTCACTACCGATGAAGATCAAGATTGTGAGATGGCAAAGAAGGGACGATCTCTCTAAAGTTTGGTTGTGGAGTACTCTGCATGCTTCTTCTTTGCCTTCTTTTTTACCTTTATTAGTTTCGTTCTTGGTTTTGGGTAAATTTTTTTTTTTTAATTTTGCGATTTTCTCTAGCCGTTGTTTTTGTTAGAACAAAGCTTAAGTAAGTTTCTTTATGTCAAATTTGTGAGATATTTCATCCAACATAATTATATAATAATTAAATTTAAAGATAAAACGAATAAATTATTAAAATTGTATAAGATGATAAAAAATATGTATAAAAACTTCAATGAATCATTCTTTTATACTTAAGGTTTATATTTGATACATATTATAACTCTATATGTACTCTATTACTTAACTGAGTAAAAAGTTTCAGTGTTTGTTAACAATATTCCTGACAAAGTTCGTAGGAGGTGGTTGTGAGATCTTTCAGCAAGTTGGCAGAGTGATTGATGCTCATATCATGAAGAAGAGGGAAGAAATTTGGCTTTGTTAGGTTTGAATATCTGTCTGAAGTGAGAAGTGCGAATGAGAGATTGAAGGTTAATCATAGATTGGGAGGAAATTTACTAAGGTATGGTGGGAGAGTTTTTCTTTTCTTTTTTAATTTTTAAGAGGAAGCAAGTTTGAACAAAATAGGGGGCTTTAAAACGATTAAAAAGGTTACTTTCAGCCACATCAGAAGAGAAATGAACTTACTGGCAGACGGTCTGGCCAAAGCTGGAGTCTTGAGGGATGCTAATTTCAGTGCCTACTTTGTTCTTCACCAAAGGGATTGAAATTTCGAACCTCCTGAGGATCTTTTATAAACGGTTGTGAGGTTGACGGTCATGTAGAGCAGACCTTTTGATGGGTTGTTTGTGGGCTTATTGTGCTGGTTTATTTCTTCTTTCTGTTCTGTTGGCACACCAAGTACTTCTGATGTTTGCCAGTCCTCACTGGGAGGACCCTTTTGTAGCTTAAGCCCTTAGTGGCTCTGCTGTACAAAGTCTCTTTTATGAGACAATGCTCAATATAACTTTTCCTTTCAAAAGGGAAAATGCAAATAGGGAGCTAAAGAATACAGGGATTTGAAAGGAGAAGTGATCAGATTAAAAACCATGGTGAGAAGCAGGCATCATCACAAACTAGAAAAATGTCATATGTTCAAGCTTTAAAGGTGAAAAAGGAAAAGCAAAGCAGACAGAAATAGACGTTGAACAACATTTGAACAAAAACAAAGCAGTGGAGAGGTTACCTCTTTAAGAAAAAAAATGGTAAATAGGATGCAATACTGTGTTGCTCCTTACAACCTGTTACAAGACTCCAGGCATACAAATCGCCTAGCTTGCAGAGCACACTGTGTTACACATCATCAGCTATTAGCTTACAAATCACCTAGCATACAAAGCACATGCTGGTGGAATCTGAAACAGATCGCCTGTTGCCAGCATTGCAGCTCACCTAATTATATAAAAAACACAATGCTATCTGGTATCCAAAACACAAGGGCAGTAAAACAGATTTTATTTTCTGATCTCCCCTGCAATTTTATTTTTTTTGAAAGTCAATATTTCATTTCATTAAAAGAGAAGATGCAGAGAGTACAAGTTATAGCCGAAGTGCAAGGCCAAAGAAAGATCAGCCTGGACTCCTAGCACATATCAGTGGCTGACAAAAATATGTCAGTGAACCGTACCCTGTCCCTATATACATTCAAACGCAGTGGCCCATCCCATAATCTTTACATTACAGTTGCATTGAAAATTTACAGCCATTGCATGAATCCGAACCCAGTACGAAGAAGAAACGGAACCTGCAGGGCTGTTTCCTTTTCTTGCTTAGCCTTGCGACATTCTGTACCTGTACCCAATCAATCCTTGCCATCCATCATTCGAATGGTGTACATGTCATCCATATTTCATCCAAATCTGGTTGGTTTCCAACGTAACGGTATTCCATCCCTGCAATCTGTCATCAAGCAGAAAATAAGTCACAGCATCCACAACAATTCCCTCAGTCAAATCCATGCAACAATGAAATATGCTCCCGGTATAACCCTTGCATTGCTAGAGTGTCTGCGCATGTGTTGGCCTCTCGGTAAACACTCCACAAAAGAATAGATCAGATGCTATAGCCACTGCTAACTACCAAGTTTAACCCAAGGAGCTTTTGGAGATGGTTTTTATGGATGGCTGCTCCAACTTACCCGCAAGGAAATTAGCACCCAAAAAAATCCCTAATCACATTCAATGATGATAAGACGTTTAAGGAATTGAAAGAAAAAGCTTGGCGGTGGCTAAACAACTAGTTCATTAAGGTGGAACTTGGAAGGGTGGTCCAAGAGCTTTACAAGAAATCAATGCTACAACATGCTTGAGGTTAAGTGGGTTCTTGTGTCACGGGATTATTACCTCCCGTTCCTGTCCGATGTGGGATAGAGGTACTTTCCTCGTGATACTCTCTTCCACTCGATTCCGGCAACGTTCTCGTTGCCGTCTGCCAACCTGCCTACCCTGAGTCCCCCTAGGCCCAGGCACTTGGCCACCTTGCCTATCCTGAATCCCCCTAGGCCCGGGTGCTTGGCGTGAGTCAAACGAGGTTCGATCCGCTCTGATACCACTTGTCACGGGGTCATTACTCTCTCCCCCATAAACGCGCTTATAAAGTTATGCAGCACACCTACTTATAAGGAGCCCAAGACCTCCCGTTTCTATTCAATGTGGGATAGAGGCACTTTCCTCGTGATACTTACACATTTTTGGAGCTTCAAAACTTGCAACAACATAATTAATTTATAGGGGACTTGATTTTTTTTTTTCTTCTGAAGAAAGATTACATTAAAGGAGTAACCAAAGCTTGGCCTCCAACAAAAGCCTACTCGCAATTTTTTGGTCCATGCACAACACATCATGAGCATAATCGTCAAAATTGCATGGGTGGACAGTATTGAGCAAAATTACACAAACCCATCCCAGTATTCACTACACCATTATGGTCCTCTCCCAGTACAGGGGACTTGATTCTTGTTGAGCCAAGTACAATGAATTCTAAGAACCTTTATCATGGTCATGGAGTTATAATTATTGTCATGGAGAGGAACCAACGGGTTGAGGAGGTGGTGGAACTAAAGGTTGCAGATATAATCCATATTATTAATTGATAGCAATGCTTGAATCGTGAGTAGGGGAGAGAGTTTGGGAAATTCTTCAAGTATTTCACTCAACTGTACAAGTAATTACAAGGCCCTATTTATGCTCTGTCATAAGGCTTAGTGAGAGAAAGTAATATGAATTAACTAGAGATTGAATGTCCTAACAAATTAAAAAAAAAAATCCGCGATTGGGCGGTAAGTATACCACTACTTTCTATTTACAGCTGTTACTAATCTATTTACTTATCAAGTCAAGTGATAAACACGTGACTCTAAACCATAAGCATTCCACGCCCTTGCCACGTGATCTCCTTGTTCGAGAGCTCTTATGCTCATGCTGATGTTTGTCTAACTTGTGCTTAATGTTTTATTGGATTCCATACCGATGCTCATGCTGCTTCCGTTTTGATGAGGGTAGTGATCAGTCTTTTGATTAGAAGAGATTTCCAATGTAATCTATGGTGTTTTTAGATCTGTTATTTTCTAGTTTGCATCGTTGGCAGAAGGAGGGAGAGGAAAGAGAAGTTGATTGAAAGAGGGAATATTTTTTAAAAAATTAAAGTGTTTTTTTAAAAAGAAAAAAAGAGTTACTTTTTGGAGTTTTTTAAATTTTATTTTTAAAAAAAATTTCTCAAAAAAAATCCTGTTTAATGTGATTTTTACTTTTAAAAAATAAATAATTAAGTTGAAAAAAAAAGACCAAACAGATACTTAATCTACTTTGTATATTATTTTTCATATATTAATAAAACATCAGCTTAATGGAAAAAACATATCGCCACTTAATTAACCAGAAATTTTAAAAATTTAAAAGTCCTGTAAACTTAAATTACAACAATATTCTATTATTGCCTCTACTTGTAGACCTTTTCCCTCCCCTCACACCCTCTTTGAAATTAATCTGCAATTTGATGCGTCAACACCACGTGCATCCACTGCCAATTTCACAAATTATTGGTTAGAAAATATATATAGATGACCTTCGGGTAAAGAGGATTTGAGCTTTTTCTTACTATTATCCCTTTTGCTCAAACTATGGGATTGGAAGAAGTTTATTGTGTTTGCAATTTTTTTTAAAAGAAAATATATATGAAAACTTGACTCAGCATATGATTGGATGTAATATCAAAATTAGGCTCCAAACCAAACTCTAATTCTAATTCTAATTCGCAAGTTTCAAAATTCTTTTTCCTTTTAGTATCACAAATATCTACCCATCCCTTGTGATTATATAAAACTGTTTCGATTTTGTACGTGTATTTAAAGAGAGAATCTAAACAGTATCCGAATTTCCGAATAATTATTGGACTAGCCTTGCGTCTAGGGCAAAGGCTTTCTCTCACTCTCTGACTCTCACTCCTTTGTTACTTCAATTCTCTCTTCCGTTTACCTAGTTTTGCTTTTCCTGATCTCCTTTGCTAAGCTACTGCTTTTGACGATGGCTGGAGGAGTTATCGCTCCAGCGGGTTCCGGGAAAGAGTATCCTGGCAGATTTACTTCCAGGGTCTTTTTCACGTGCATTATCGCTGCTTCGGGTGGTTTGATCTTTGGTTATGATCTTGGTATTTCAGGTAAAAGTTATTCGACTAAACTTTAACTATCGATTTCTCAAGGTTTTATTTTCTTCTTCCTCTATTGCTTTTGGAATTCTAATTAACGAGGGGGTTTCCTTGAATTGGTTCTCTATAGGTGGAGTTACATCCATGAATCCTTTCTTGGAAAAGTTTTTCCCGGCTGTTTACAAGAAGGAAATATCCATCAAACCTTCGGATGATCAATACTGCAAGTTTGACAGTCAAAAACTAACGTTCTTTACATCCTCGCTGTATTTGGCTGCTCTTTTATCGTCTTTAGTAGCATCGACGGTGACGCGATTGTTTGGGAGGAAGATGACGATGATGACTGGAGGTTTACTTTTCACCATTGGTGCCCTTCTCAATGGCTTTGCTCAAAACATTGAAATGCTTTATATTGGTCGGATTCTACTTGGTTTTGGTGTTGGAGCTGCTAATCAGGTACCTACCATAGTTTTCTTAATTACTTCAAATTAATTTTCTTGAGGATATATTCATGGTGTTCTCTTTATTTTGTTTTATTTTTAAAACTATCATCACATGTTATTAGAACAGTGCATATTTAATAATTAAGTCATTCATTTAGTAGACAAATTTATACAATTTGTTTAATTTTAATATTTTTTTTTTTGGGATAATGGTATCAATATACAAATTTCTCTGTCAGCGACGCTAAAGGATGTTCTTTCCCTCTTTATACAATGAAATTTCTCTCTTTCCAAAAAGAAAATCAATATACAAATTTGGTGGGTACGAAATACTTTATCCACACCATGGAAATTGCTCTCTTTCTTATGTGACACATTGAGGTAATAAGCTGCAAAATCAAGGTGTGGTCCAACACATGCTTAGGGAGACAAAGGAGGAGGCTGATCCGCTTGCAAAGGAAGGAGTTAAAAGGCCACGTGACATGTTGTTGGTGGTTCACCAAGGTGTGGCTACCGAGGGTGAGGAAGGGTAGGGTGGGAATGGGAATCCTTCTTGTTTTCTGATCTGTACAGGATGCAGTTTATATTGTTGTTATGCGGCTGAGATTCTGTGCAAGTGAATGTGTGTGTCTTGGCCTCTGAGGTTGATTGTTTCGGGGTTGTTATTCTTTTTCTTGGTAATTTTTCTGCATTTCCCAGCATAGGGAGAATGGTGCTCCCTCTGTGTTGGTCTGGAACGGGTCTATTTTTTGAAAGACCCTTTGTTGCTAAACTGCAACTTTGTAAGGTTCCTTGAGCATTACTATATTTCCAGCTTTTCAAAATAAATATATATACAATTTTGGGAAAATAATTTTCTTCTCTCTTTTTATCTAGGGTTTTGTTTGCTTATAGTTGACATTAGAAATTAAATTTTTTGGATGGATTAGTATAAAAGAAAATTTTTTATAATGTAATAAATCAATGCTAAACATTTAATCACAGCCAAGTTGCCTATATAAATTTCATGCATATATTGTAATACAAACGGATAATTTTTTATTTTATTTTTTGCAGTCGGTTCCAATCTATTTGTCCGAGATGGCTCCCTTTAGATATCGAGGTGCTCTGAACATTATGTTCCAAATAACGATTACATTTGGCATATTTGTCGCCAACTTGTTGAACTATTACTTCGCTAAGATTGAAGGTGGATGGGGTTGGCGCTTGAGCTTGGGAGGAGCTGTTGTCCCTGGCTTGATCATTTTTCTTGGTTCTTTCTGCCTCTCTGACACACCAAACTCTTTGATTGAACGTGGCGAATTGGATGAGGCTACAGTTCTGCTCAAGAAAATCCGTGGCATTGACAATGTGGATGAGGAGTTCAATGACTTGGTTGAAGCTAGTGAGGCATCCAAGTTGGTTAAACACCCTTGGAGAGATATTTTCAGACGGAAGTACAGGCCGCAGCTCACGTTTTCTATATTCATTCCTTCCTTTCAACAATTAACTGGCGTGAATGTGTTTGTGTTCTATGCTCCTGTTCTGTTCAAGAGCATGGGATTTGGGGACAACGCATCCCTCATGTCCTCAATGATCACTGGCCTTTGCATCTGTATAGCAGCCGTTATTTCGAGTTTTACTGCTGATAAGTTTGGAAGGAGGACACTTTTCCTTTGGGGTGGGATTCAAATGTTTATTTGTCAGGTATGAATTTTCTTATTTGTTAATTTTCTTTCCTGTACAAAGAATATACAAAACTTGTACTGTATTTTACTTGTTTCATCATTTGTTGATTTATTTGTATGTGAAGGCTGTTATGACTGCTGCAATTGCTGCCAAATTTGGTACGAGTGGAAACCCTGGTGAGCTGCCTAGGTGGTACTCAATTCTCGTGGTGGTAGCCATGTGCATTTACATTGCTGGCTTTGGCTGGTCATGGGGTCCCCTGGGCTGGCTGGTGCCCAGTGAAATCTTCCCGCTTGAAATCCGTTCCGCTGCTCAAAGTGTCAACGTTTCCGTCAACATGATCTTCACTTTCGCCGTAGCGCAAGCCTTCACCTCCATGCTTTGCCATTTGAAATTCGGCCTCTTCATCTTCTTTGCCTGTTGTGTTGTGGTGATGAGCGTCTTCATCTACAAGCTCTTTCCTGAGACTAAGGGAGTCCCCATTGAAGAAATGACCATTATTTGGAAAAACCATCCTTACTGGAGAAAGTTTGTCAACGATGAAGATCCAAACTATGAGATGGCAAAGAGGGGAGGATCTGTGTAAAGTTTAGTCGGGTAGGATTGCTCTTTTCCTTTTTGTTTTGCTTTGTTTATATGCTGTAATAACTCTTTTCTCAGACCCAACTTCAACTCAGTTTTGCACCCTGCGGCAGCCCAATCATTGACAAGAACCTGTAGCCATTCCCCTCAGTGAGATTCTCTTGTTCAAGTAACAACCAGAGAGAAAAGGTACCTTACTATTCAGCAGATAATCTAAACAAAAACTGAGTCATCGTATAGCCCGTCCATAGAACACAGAACACACAAAGTGGTGTTACGCACTTAAATTTTTAGTTTAAGCGTTTGACTTTTAGACTAGAGTGTGGTTTATTAAAATTACCGAGCTTTTCCTTTAGTCGTTGTTTGTTAGTTTGGATTTGATATCAATGACATTAACAGGAGTTTGTGTTGATATTCATGCTCAATTCCTGTTTGTTAAGTTCTCCATAGTAATCTCTTTTGAAACTATGGGCAAATTGAGGCTCAGCTTCGTAGTGGCTTGGGCTGGTTAGAGGTTCATAGTTCATTCACTCTAAAACCCAACTTAAATTTGGGTTAGTCTATGGTCAACACAATCTCTCTAAAACAACTAGAGTGACCCATTGGTCATACTCTTGGCCTTTTTTTGATTCCATTACCTTTTACGAATAAAGCCCTACCCAATCAACCCTCTTTATATAAATCCACAAACAGAAAAATCAACTCCAACTATTAATGAAGTGACCCATTATAAGCAAACTTTCCTTAAGCCGGTACTTAAAAATCAACCCCAAACCTTAAAAATCAATATTAAGTATAATTAATCCAGCCAAATTGACTTGACTTAATCACCCAACTTTTGCCTCAACAAAGACAAACAGACTCTAATGCTGCCGGTCGTTACACGTTAATACCTTTCCTCTATCATCGCAGCAAAATTTTCATCATATTGCTGACTGCTACAACGTTTTTTGGTTCTTGGTATAAGATCGAATAAATGTCAAATTTTTAACATTCTAATGATCAAATGCCCCATCAATTAGATACTACTACCAGTCTTATGATCTTTCTTTGCACATTCACACCCTGTTGCTATAGTGGGAATTAAATGTACCTGTCCTAAAATTTTTTTGAATGACTTTGAGCTATGTTGAATGTCTCAATTTCTCAAGTCTTTGAGTGAAGTAAAACCGACACGTTGCGTTCATTGTATTTTTCAAATCATTGAAACTTTTTTCTCAAACAAACAAATGGAATCATTTGCCTCTTGTCAAGCCATGAATCCTCCGATGCATAATCTAGGGTATATATGTATGCCAAGAAAAATTTATTGTCAAAAACTACTCTAAATGCATACATAAATATAAAACAAGCATACATTTTCAAGAAACTACGAGGCGTAGGTTTTACATTTTCTAGCTACCTACTAGCATTTAGCATGAGAAAAGAATACTTGTACGACTAAGCGCGGAGTTAAGATACATGGTGACGATCATTATTTTTTAATTTTTTTATTATAATATATATAAAATTTAAAATATATAAATATATAATTTTATATGATTATCTTTTTAGCCACTCTTTATGTAAAATCTCAAGTCTATTGTTACCTGTAACTTAACACCGTTTCAACTATACCAGTCTAAAAGTGAGCTTTAGTGCTAGAACTTAACAATATTTTGTAATAATGGGGTTAGGTTAAGGTTGTTATTGAAAACCAAAAGTACTATAGTAAACTCCATCAAGATTCATTGTGTCGGTAAGATGCCCATTCTTTGACTACTTATTATCTTAGTGCTAGTGGATGGTTAGTTAATTGCAAGGACTCAAATTGCTTATCAAAGAAACTACAGATTGTGACATCATCAAGCATGTGACATCTCCAAGCAACAATTCCTCATGTGATCTAAGGAAGAGGGTGGAGCCAACACAAAAGACTAGCCCTCAAACAGGATATAACCATAGAAAAATAATTAATTGACTTTTCCAGGCCTCGATTTGAAGAAAATTTGTACATAAGGTAGGACCTTTCAAACAGGGATTAAACTTGTGACTTCTCGAGCATGAATGCCCTCTGTCACATAGAACAAAAATTGCTGCACTGTTTGATTTGCAGTTCGATTATACTTTAGTCTCTGTGACTCATTTCTTAAATCCCAAACTTTCAATTTTTGCTGTGTCCGTGGGCGTTTACGATTACAGAGGAAGATGCTGCCCCCCAAAGACGAAGACAACGATGACGATCAAGACAAAGAAAGAGACGTGCACGAAGGATGCCCATCGGCAAACCTCGCGCGCGTGCCACCGTCCAAGGGCTGTATGTGGTATGTTCCAGCTGATTGCTGGGACCAGCCATGGAGCTTTTGGTTTAAAAGTCTCGTGCCATTGCTACACTTCATCGTCGACATCCAGCCGACCCGCTGCTCCAAGACAAAATCTTAGGGCTAAAGTGGTTAACCCTATCCTCATATTGATAACATTTTAAATTAAATTCATTGCTTTTGTGTGTCGATTTATATATATTTTTTAAAAGGTAAATAATAACATACAATGTGTCGATTTATGTTATATGTGATTAAATTAAAAATCAAACATCATTTATGTGGTTGTTACAAAAAATAATTTTATATTATTATTATGTATTACATAAATAATATTAATGTTCAATGTGAATATTATTTTATTTATTTTTTATATAAAATTATACTTTTTATAAAAATAAATATTACGGTTTAAATTTAACATTTTTATCTCAACATTGTTCTGCTTTTACCAATTGATTGAGTTCTATTACATGAGATAAATGTTTAATCCAACTATAAAACTTGATTGAATTTTAAAACTACAGTAAAAGGAACTCTTTTATAAATTAAAAGAAAAGGATTTACTCATATTTAAAGCAACCAATCCATAACTAGAATAAAATTGAGAAAGTTTAGATTGTTGCCTAAGCAACAAAACAGTAGAGGTTGAGCAACAAATAAGTCAAGGCAACCGTCCAAATATTTATTTTGTCCCCTCAACCAAAAACGTTCTCGGGAACCTTTAAACGAGAGAGCATAACCAATCAATTAAGAGTTGAGGGCTAAACGCTTGGTCCCCTTAATTAAAGAAATTAAAGGGTTAAATATATGTTTATGTACCCACAATTAAAGAACGGAATTGAAGGCTTAAAGTTCGAAAGCTCCCCTAATAAATACTTGACACTTGTGAAGCCATTGGAGCAGCGAGGCAGCAAGTTTTTGTTAAGAGATTGATTTGTCTTTTTGCAGGTCCCAACAGTGACATCTAATCGGTCATAAAAGCACGCTGGAAATGTTTCTAAATGGAACTTCAGTTGGAATCTGGAAGCTCAATCTGTCAACTCTTTTCCTTCTTCTCTCTTTAAAAGGCCGTCCTGAGTGGTCTATTTCGCCTTGTGCCCCAACAGACTAAAGCCCCGGTTAAAGCCCCACAAACTCTTTATATCTTAGCAGCCACTCCCCCATTCGGCTATCTCTCATTCAAACTACACCCAAACCCCTCCCTGGTTACCCTGTCTATTTTTCCTTTCCGTTCAGAAAAGTCCAGAATCTTGTGCTGCTTCCCCTCATCTTGCAAACAGAGTTTGGACCACAAAAATCTTACTTCAATCAAAGTACAGGAAACAGACATGTTAACTCCTTTGAACCCCAAGAACCCAACAGCACAAAAAGGAGACCAGGATTCAGAAAAGACTTGTCTGTCTCTTGTAGCTAAAGAAGCAAAAGGCATAGCCAGTATAGCTTTTCCGATGGTGCTAACAGGGATTTTGCTCTATTCCCGCTCCATGATTTCCATGTTATTTCTTGGTCGTCTAGGGGAGCTCGCTTTAGCAGGTGGTTCGCTTGCTATTGGGTTTGCTAACATTACTGGGTACTCAGTTCTCTCTGGCCTTGCCATGGGAATGGAACCCATCTGTGGGCAAGCTTTTGGTGCCAAAAGATACAAACTTCTTGGCCTCACCATGCAAAGGATGATACTTCTGCTTCTCTTGACTTCAATCTTCATAGCTTCTTTGTGGTTCAACATGAAAAATATCCTTCTCTTTTGCGGCCAAGATGAAAATATTGCCAATGAAGCTCAATCCTACATTCTTTATTCTCTTCCAGACCTCCTAGCACAATCCATTTTGCATCCTTTGCGTACATATTTGAGGACTCAGTCCATAACTCTGCCACTGACATACTGTTCTGCTTTGGCTATTCTTCTCCACATTCCCGTTAACTACCTTCTTGTTTCTGTGCTCAATCTTGGAATCAAAGGAGTTGCTTTAGGCTCCATTTGGACGAACTTCAATCTCGTAGGTTTGTTGATCGTTTACGCTAAAATCTCCGGGGTGTACAAGAAAACATGGGGTGGAATTTCCTCAGAGTGCTTAAAAGGCTGGAACTATTTATTGAATTTATCCATTCCAAGCTGCATTTCGGTTTGCCTGGAATGGTGGTGGTACGAAATCATGATTTTGCTATGTGGGTTGTTGTTTAATCCACAAGCAACTGTCGCTTCAATGGGCATTTTGATTCAAACCACATCTTTGATATACATTTTCCCATCTTCCTTAAGTTTCGGTGTGTCAACTAGAGTTGGAAATGAACTTGGAGCTAACAATCCAAACAAAGCAAAACTGGCTGCAATCGTTGGCCTCTCCTCGAGCTCCGTCATAGGACTTTCAGCATTGGCTTTCGCTATACTGGTCAGAAAAAAATGGGCTACCATGTTCACCGAAGACCCAGAAATCATTGCCTTAACATCAATGGTTTTGCCTATACTTGGACTCTGTGAGCTTGGAAACTGCCCACAAACAACAGGCTGCGGAGTTCTACGAGGAACTGCTAGACCGAAATCGGGAGCAAACATCAACCTGGGGTGTTTCTACTTGGTAGGCATGCCAATTGCAGTGTGGTTGAGTTTCTTTGCCGGGTTTGACTTCAAAGGTCTTTGGCTTGGTCTTCTAGCCGCCCAAGCCTCGTGTGTGGTTACCATGTTGTTCGTTGTGGCTTGTACAGATTGGGACCTTCAAGCCCGGAGGGCACAGGAACTCACCAGAGCCGTCCCTGCGGATGATGATGACCAAGCGAGCCATGATGGAGCTTTGAAAGTTTATTCTGATTCAAAAGAATCTTCAGGATTATTATACGACGCAAACCAAAACACCTTACCCGTCTGATTTGGAACACATGGGGTTGATATTTCTAACCAATATTTTTTTCCTTGTGAATTTGATCAGAACATTACTATAAGTTTATTTAGGTCCAATTCATGTAAAGTATAAAGGGGGAATGGAATTGAAATTTAGGGAGAAAAATCGGCACGGACTTTGTTTTATGCATTGTTTTCTTGTTTCAGAATAGTAAAGAAAAACAGAACATAGATTTTGTCAGTAAAAACTAAGAAGTACAAAGTTTCTCGTTCGAGGCAATGTTTATTGTGCCGTTTTGTCGGGAAGCGCTTCGCGTTGCGCGTAACAATCCCCTTTCATCTGCTAATCGTCATTGCAATTGGGCGCGTACAACTCCATGATGGAAAAATGGCACGTGTGCAATTTTGTTTTTAACATTCTTGTCGGTTGGTTGGATTCTAACGTGCCCAACTGGTCACCATTTGCAACTTGCCGACTCCGTGAATGACTTCTCCCCTTCAAACGCGCTAAACAGGGGTTATTTGAACCCAGTCACTTCATCTCAGAAATTGATTTACTAAATAGTAGATAATGAAAAGTTAGCAGCTTAAAGTTAAACGTGGTTGCCTCTGATTGGTGAAATAATTAAATTAATCTAATTATATTCTAAACTAAAATCAACTTAGTATCATGCTAATCTATTGGATTGTCAAATTTTCTTCTTCCGACCTTTTCGTAGACTTCAAGCCAGAACTTGGTTTTCTCAATATTTTACGGATAACCTCTGTAAAGATTGGGCAGTTTCCATTTTGTCAACAAGAGTTCGAACCTGAACGCATGGACATAAGTGGAGTCCACTCATTTGCCTCCTAATTGGATTTGTCGATCAAAAGAAAAGAAAAGTCTGGTTACGTTCTAGCACTTTGACCGTAGCTAATTCAGATTGTCATATAAAATTATTGCATCTAAATTTTTTTTTGTCCACCAAGTTTAAAGGGACAATTTAAAAAATGATCTTTAAAAATAAAATATTTTTAAAAATAATATTTTTTATAATTTTAACTATTCTTAATAAGTTGAATAACATTACTCTTAATGAAATTACACGTCATGATATTACACATCATATACAGAAACATGTTATACGCCATGATTAGTTTATTACACGTTATGTACAAAAACATATTACATGTTGTTACACGCCATCTTAAAAAAAATATTTTTGTTATAGGTCATGTACAAAAATATATTATACACTACGATTAAAAAAGGTTGTTACACGTCATATTGAAAAAAATATTATTATTACACACCAGGTTAAAAAAATATTATTATTATACATCATATTCAAAATCATTTTATTACACCTTAATGCCTAAACTGTTATTATTATTTACAAACTAAAATTTCAAATTCTCTCAACTCTCTATTTTTTTTTTTGATAATTTGACACCGATTAAAGTATTTCTAACATGTTTTTATAAATCAAAATATAAATTTTCTTATCTAAAATACCTATTTTGACTAAAAAATAAAAAAAATATCATTGAAAACCTAAGTTTATAAATTTTAAATTTTGAATTTATTGGTATTTAGATCCCTAATTGATCCAATTAAAAATTATTTCAAACATCTATTATCATTTCTACTATTTAGTTTTACAAAAAATACTTAAAAATCAAATTCTCCAAATAGCCATCCACTTAAGTACATCAAAATCATTGTTTGATGTTTTCAAAGTGTTGAAAAGAGAAATCTGAAAGTGCAAGAGAGATAAATCAGAAGCATAGTAGATAAATGCTGAAGAGAAAAGTTGATAAAATTAGAGAGATGGAGATGTTGAAAGAGAAAAATCAGAAGCACAAATAAAGAGACATTGTGATGAATGGTTTAATTTATTTGAAATAGTTTCAATAGTATTTTTGTTAAGTTATAACTAAATATGACTAAAAACAATTAAATTTAATTTGATGATTATTTTTAAAATGCTCTTATCAAAAAAGGTTGTTTTTCACAATTTTCGAGTTTAAATTTACAAGGTCAAAACAGCTAATATAATCTATAAGACGTTTAAGAACCTTCTTTAGAAACTGAACTTAGTACTTTTGATCTTTAATTAGACAAAAGAAAATGTCGGTTTATTTTTCAAAGGTACGTACCATGTGTAACGAGATTACTAGATGATGTTTGCTATTTTTACACATATTGTCTTGCCTGACCAAGAAACATTTTTGCCCTCTTTTCAGTGGTCATCGGGACCTGTCCGACCAATCCTATGTTATCTTCTTTGTCTCTATCCTTTCTCAGGAAGCAAAATTGAAGTAACTAACTTGAATTATGGGATATTGTAACGGTTGCAAACCTGCATTTGGCTTCTATAGCAGTCTCATCCCCAAAAAACGAACATTACATAATGCTTCTAGGCATGGCATGCGCCATCCCTTTTAACTTCTAGCACAACTTGCATATAGTTAACCTTATTCAATCAAACTCTTCAACTCGTAATATTTTTAAAACTTTTTTTTTTCAATAAAATCCAACGCCTCTTTAATACCGGCAATCTAAATAGAAAAATCTCATTTTACAAAATACTCTATATATTTTTTGGATGTTTTTGACCCAACATTAAGAAAACTAAGCATTATGATTATATTTAAAAAAACTCTTATATCATTAATTATATGTCAAATGTCAATAATTTCCGATTCTAATGATCAAGATACTTGATTATGAGAAAGACTTTGCATAAATATTTCATATATTATTCAGTAATGGGGATTATTCCGCACGCTAAGTGCTAACCCATCCATCGATTTGGTGTCATCCACCATGTCTTAAAAATGCATATCATAGATTTATTAGCTTAATTTTTGTAACTAGTCCTCAAAGGGAAGCCGATTCACAACCACCTCAATCTCACTTAATTGGCTAGCTTTTCCATTAAATTTATTGCAAAGTCAATTCAATTTTTTTAATTAAAAGTTAAATTGGTTTGGGATCATGATTCCTTCCAAAAGCAAAACGATATTATAGTTTTTATTAATTGATCAGCTGCCTTTTGACATTTGTAAAAACACCCAGATCTGTTCGTTTGACCATCTTTCTAAATTGAAGTATAAAAGTAAGAACTACATGTATATGCAAGGTTGACTGGGTTTGTCATGTTAATTAATTTGTTTCATATTCAACAAAATTTTTTATAATATAATTAGCCATCTAAGACTCTAAACTCAAATAGCCATTTTCATGTTGGGGCAATTACTTTAATATTTTGTTTATAAAACGATTTCTTATCAAATATAAAAATTAAAAGTAAAACATTTTTAATCAAAATTAGAAATTATCTTTTTGACCAAATTTATCTAAATTGTTGTCTCTCTAGATACAAGACATGTAGATAATGTATATTAAGAGAACGAGTTAGTGGTCATATAAAAAACTTTAGAATTTATTCTAATTTAGAAAATTTTAGTGACTAAAATAATTTAAAAAAAAGGTGTACTCTTAATTATTCTTTATTGAAGAGAAAAAAAGTATTAAAAGATGGAAAAGTGAAAAGAAATTTTGCAGCGGAATCAAAACCTGCCAGTCGGCCACGGGGCAATGGCTGCCCCAGCAGTTGTTGAAGACTTATCTAATGAAAAGACAAGATGGTGCCGGCTCACCAACCTTTTCTGTGTCTTGCATTAAGCCCTAAATAAAAGATTAATCATTGTATTAATAATAAGACTGATCTAATTAAAATATAAAGGAAAACTCCAAATCCTTTCTATCAATGTGAATCGTATGGGATTAGCTAATTAGAAAAATATCACAACATGTTGTTTTTTGAAGCTTAATTTCTAATTTGTAACAATTCATTAAAATACCATTAAAGAAACTTTTTTGCTTCCTAGTTCTACAATTTAGAGCTTGACTAAATATATTTAATGCTTATTGGCAAATAAAAATTGAGAATAGAGTCCCATCAAAATTAGAACCATGATGATCTTTAAGGAAAAATGGATTCTTCACCAAAGACAAACTTTTAAAAGAAAATATTGAGTTGATGTCACTAATCACATTAATTCTTCTATATATACAACATGTTAAGTTGCATAAAAAGAACTTAATTCATTAAATTATCCCATGTTATAGCTAGGCTGAGATTCTATCAAAATCATTGCCACGATGAATAAATAAACAAAAATGATAGTTCACCAAAAGATAATGTTAAACAACAAATAGGATAGTTTGTTTCACCTCATGATTTAGAGAAATAGGTATTGAGAGTATGATCCTAATTGTATTAATTAATAAAAGAACATGACACTTTAAAATGATAATGTTAAAATGTATATTCAAATGAAAAAAAAACATTTCTAATAGTGTGTATGTGTGTGTGTATATATATATATATATATATAAATGTTTTGTTTAAGAATATTAAAAAGTCGGTAGGTGGTCGGTTAAGCATAATCCTTCCACTAATCCTTAGATTAGCTTGACGTGTTTTGCTTTTATAGAATAATAATCTAAGTAGTGATGCTTCAAACCCCACCACAATATGTTTTTTTGCACAAATATAAAACTTAAAGATAAGAATAATGCGAAATTTGGTTGCTCATGCATGCATGAAGATATATATAGCCATTCGATGTCAGGCATGAATCATGGACAACGCTTCGGCCGTCCCATGCACATATTTTACAAATTAAATATACAACTATCTCCAAAGTCAAACTAATTAATCAACAAGGATAATCTAGTCATATTAGAATATTATCTTTTTACGCTAATAATTTTATTATTATTTTAATTAATTTGATCAGACATTTTCTGCAAAAGACAATTAAAACTTATTGATTGAAACAACAAAGAGCCAAAGACAATGGTAATGGTCTCAAACGTTAATTATTTTAATTAATTTGATCAGAGCTTTCGCTTATTAATTAAAACCATTTCATTTTTTTATACTACTTTTTTTCGTTATGCATCAAAATGAGCACAAAATCTTTAGGGCCTAAAAAAAGAACCTTCAAATGAGCCCAAGAATATAATAATAATGCTATAGAATAGAGTCCTTGGCCTCCCTTAATCCATTTATTTATTAATTGATATTTTTAACATGTTCAAAGAATTTCAATTAATCTTTTTAATAATTTAGATTGATTTAACCGTTGTCACTCATTTTTAATAAGTTTAACGTTTAATATTCTAATTTCTACAATCTCTCTTAACTTTTTCCATTTACCAAAAAAAAAAAGACTACTATTTTTTTTATACTGTGTTTGTTTCATGGTTTGATTCCTTATAAATTAGTAAACCTTGGGTTAGCCTCATTTTACTCTATATGCCTTTGCATTTACATAATTGATTTAGTAAATTACATTTCTCATATTACAATTAAAGGGTATTTAAGAATTAAAAAAACTTTTGAACTATTTAAAAATTTAAATAAATTCTTACTTTTTAATTACATTAAATCAAACTCTTATATTTTTATTTTAAATTAAACATGTTTTTATAATTAATGATTAATTAATTATCATTATCAAAATAATATTTATAATTTTTTATATTTATATGGTACTAGCGTAACATTGATATAGGAAATAAAATGTTATGTAATCATGTCACATGACATAAAAAATATAAGTAACATTTTTACTAATGACAATAATAAATCGTTAGATATAAAATTTTATTTAATTCAAAATAAAATTATAAAAACTTGATTAAACGTTAAAATGTGAAAATCTAATATACCCTACCAAGTTTCTAGTAATCCATTTAGCAGTTCTAAATCGATAAGGTATATGAATTTACCCTAACTTTTTTATTAATGCAAAGAATAAATGTAGGTATAATTTTATGTGGCGAAATTAATATAAAATGTAGACTAGCGGTGCACGTGGAATTTTGGTTTGACAATGAACAAGAACAAATTCGCTGCACGTGCATGTGCGTGGCTAAACGGGGGCTGGATACCAGCAATTCAAAGATTCGAATCTAATGCCAAAATTTTTTAAACCTTACAAATTCAAATCCTTTGAATCTAGCACTTTCATGAATTAAATTAAAAGGTCTCAGGAAAATTAACTTAATCATATAATATTTCTGTTATTGTTTAATTAATATAAGATGGGCATCGCATTCTTTTCCATCTAAATTATTTTCAGTGTCCTTAGCCAAATGCATGAATTATTAATCATGCATGTACAATTACAAGAGCTTTTAGAAGCGTAAGCATTGGATTACATGAAAAGATTGCAAACTTGTAATGTTTGAATCAAATTAAAACATACTTAAAGTTATATTTTCATGAAAAGATTGCAAACTTGTAATGTTAACCCTTGTTTGAACCTGTATCAGGAAAAGAAAGTGTGGGAAGCACAAGCTAGGCTGGGAAGTACGATTGTTGTTTGACTTTCATAAATAGTACGAAGAGGCTTTATTATATCATTTTTCTTTTATACATTAGAGTGATGTTGAAGAATGAAAATGGAGTTATATGTTGATTCTTATTGAATAGTAATCATTAATTAAACAACATTAATGAGCTTTCATCAAGATAATAATGCTGATCTCTTTGCTGCTTCTGTCGTTGCTCATGGCTATTGATATTATTTTCTAATTGAGCGGGCAACAATATGTAAATGTTTTTGTACTGGACCTCCTTTTTGCAAAGGGTTGTATCTGTCCAGCATCCAGTAAATCTGAGTAATCTTGATTTTCTGGGAATAGACAGACTGTTTGTATTTGAGTTTTGTGGTATTTTGTTTTTTCTTTTAGTCTGCCACTGCCTTGCTCACTTCTTTTGAAATTTTTATAATAAATATTATTGTCTTTCAAAAAATAAAAAATATTATAACGTTGATAATTACATAGAAAGTGATATATTCTTTCCCCTTAATTTATATCTAATCAACCTTTCAAGGATCATGTCCAAACGTGAAATATGGCCGACATTAATTAAAATGTGTATTCATGCACGCTATCCCATTAGACTTATAAGATTCCCATGCGAAGTATCCAAAAAAAAAAAAAAACACGTTGAAATTGAATTACAACAATAAAAATTTCTCCATATCTTCTTATTTCCTGGCCTTGACAATGAAAGTATGTCTAGTAAGTTCCAAAACTTGCTTGACTTGCGGGGGCTCTGATGTGCCTTTTTATGTTTTTAGTAATGATGTCACTATAGCTTATATGATATTAAATATATAAAATTGAGGAGTAAAAATAATGATAAAACTAGTTTTACTGGCATTAATTTGGAGTGTTAGCTGTCACAAAGTATGAGGTTTGGATTAGAAAAAGGGATTTTATTCCGGTGATATTTCTTCAAGACTTGAATGAAAACTCCTTTCAATACTACGTCGTAATTGGAAATGTAGTTGTAATTTGCAGGGGATCAATGATCATATTATATTATGCCAAGGACATCGATGCCGGGCCTATAAGCTCATATCATAATCTTCCGAGTCCAGGTTTAAGACTAAAACCCATTTGTTAAAACGTTAGATGGGGCCTCAGTTGGAACCTGCAGCCATGGCCGCTGATACGGAAACAAAGAAGCCTGAATTACGAGTGGCTAACCAACCCGAAGCACCCTCGCGGTGGTCGCCATGTACATTTACATTGCTGGCTTTGGCTGGTCATGGGGTCCTCTAGGTTGGCTGGTGACCAGTGAGATCTTCCCGCTTGAAATCCGTTCTGCTGCTCAAAGTATCAATGTCTCCGTCAACATGATCTTCACTTTCGCCGACGTATCACAAGTCTTCAATGCTTTGCCATTTGAATTCCAGCTCCTCATGGTCGGATGAGTGTCTCAGACAAGTAGATTGAAATGGACTGTATTAAAAAAATCAAAATTATCGTTGTTAAATGTTTGTATTACAATATACGCATGAAATTTATGTGCGCATTAGATATTTAAAATTGATTTATTAAATTATAAAAAAATAAAATTATCCATAGTAAATAAATGAATGAAATTATGAATTGGAAATTCAAAATTTGAAAAAAAAAGGCTAAAAGAAATTAAATGAATATTTATCTCGCTTAGTATTCTAAACCATCCATCATCTACACAAAAAGGAAAGGAAAAACTCTGAAGCCCTAGCCTCGATTAAGAAACCCAAATCGATTGAAACCTTAATGCAAAACCCATTATCGATCCAGGAATCTCTCTCTCTGTTTTAGATCGTTCAGGTGAGGCACGACTTTTGAGTTACAATTTCCATGAAACTCAACTCGTGAAGCAGAAAAAAAAGAGAAGAATTTTGTTGCTTTCGTGTCCTCACTTGATTCCTGGATTTCGTAAATTTAGGGTTTTTGCCTGCGTTTCAGACGAACAAAGAGAGTGTTTTCCCGTTTGATTTGCTTTTCTTGTGTTTTTTCCACGCTTGCCACGTGGTTAGTATTGCCACACTGTCTTGCCACGTGGGCAATGAAATACTCATTCTGGGCCTAAGTGGACCAGTGTGGTATGTTATGGGCCGGATCTAGCCATGCCCTTGAACAGCTTTACCCGTGGGCCTTGTTTAGGTCTGTCTGGTACCGGTAAGTTGGTTTCTCCTCAACCTAAAGCGCGAGTTTGCTCTGCTTTTTGGCCAAACCCTTTGTTAGATAAATTTCTTTCAGTTCCGTCTCATAAAAACTTGTTTCCTTTGTTTCGCCCCTATTTAGCTCCCTGCGTCACTCTGGCAGCTATTGGATTAGCCTTCTTCCACTCAGTTTTAGAAAAATGAAGAAACCCATTAACTCAACTGCCACTTCAAGCAAAACCTACTTTGAGGAACGCGGAGAAGAAGAAGAAGAAGAAGAAGAAGAGATTCAATCTTCGGAAGAAGAGGAATCTGATGATCACATTGATTCTGATGAAGTGGGTATATCTTATAGAGCTATTCTTTTTTCTTTTTCCGATTCTCAATTGATTATTGATTGTGTTTTTCGTTTTCTGGGAGGGTTGTAGGAGGAAGAGATAGAGGAGGAATTAGCTGAAGTTACATTTGAAGAGCTGCAAAAAGCACGTGCCGATGGTACTGAGTCAGTTTCTCGAAAACACCATTCAGAGAACAAGCATCGCCGCGCTAACAAGAATAGGTATATCTTTTTCTAATCTGAAAGAAGGTCTGAATTTTTTTGTTTTAGTTTTTTTATATATATTTGTTTTGATTTGAGTTTATAGGCCAGTGGAGCTTAGTAGCAAGAAACCAGTGAGGTCATTTAGACAGGTTATTCAAGCACCCAAAAAGGTAACTCGTGTTTCTTTTAAATTTGGTTTTTGTTTTTAATGGTTTAACATATTGGTAGCTGAACATACAGTAGTGCTTGTTTTTGGATGGGGTTGGGGAATGCGTGGAACAGGTTTTATTGTCTGCTTCTGAGTTGAACGGGGTGGTTTTTTGTAAAGGAAGAATATTTGGATGGTTTTTGCATTGTCTAGGTTGATCAGATGATTTGTATAGGGTTATAGGTCGACATCTGCACTTTTGTTTTCTTAAAGGGTTACTTTGTAACCTA